AGAATCTGTACTTCTTACAAGATGTGTGCCTACTTTGGTTCTTGGCTCTGAGCAAGATATTGTCCTCTTCATGGAAATAAATGTCGCTTTCACCATCTATGCGCTCTTGCATGTAACTTGAGGATAATTTTAATTGGTAAGTACCACAAGTCAGATTTCTGAGTTCTTCATCATCGAGTATAGGAAATGAATCCAAATCCACTTCAGAGGTCGCTTTCCATACAGCACTTTTCCTTTGCAATCCCTTCCCCTCAGTAAAAGCCTTCAAATGATTTACCTGAATTAAAATCAATTTCAATAACAAACAACACATTCTAAAAACATTTACAGTTAGGGTAGATAGATAGTAAACATAAGTTGTAATTTTTGCACATTTTGAAATTAAAAATCAACACTATCTGTCTTTGAAAAAAAGTATATTTACGTGCTTGGATACGTGAAGCATTTGAAGGGGCCGACTATAGTTTTATTGTTTGAAAACTACAATAGCGAAACTCTTCATTTTGATACCATATATAGCTTACATTAACTTCAGTGTTCATGCAAAGTTTGGGGGAAATCTACCGTCTAGGTATTTTGGGGGGACCGTCTCAAAATACAGGTACATTTACTATAGGATTAAATAGGAAAATGCCAATTTTTAGCACTTTAAAGCAAATTATACAAATACTACAATAGACATTTTATTCAAACTGTAATATTTGATGAGTAATACTATATTATACAATATATGTGAGAAACACAAAATTCTACCGTCTTGTTACCAGAGGGGGCATCTCAAAATGCAGAAAATTAGCAAATTTTACTATTTTTATAGAGTATTACTAAATATGACGTACACAATGGATTCACATGAAAACATAATAAAAATATTGGAGATATTCTCAAATTTCTATGTTTTAAATTTCAAGAGCGTATGTTTATTACTTTTTCTTTAATAATATTTTTATTACCCCTATCTTTAAGAGCTACAGATTATCATAACGTCAAACTACACTGCAACGACGTCAACCTACCTATCAATTGCAAAATCGGTTAAAAAATCAGTTATATCGAATTTTAATTACATTTTTATACATATAATTTCTTATTTTAGTTTAATTTTAATAATTAAGCGATAAAAGTTGCATTAAAACAGTAAAAACGCTTCATTTTACTATGATGCGCGAAATATTGCGCAATGGAAACTAAAGTCGGCCCCCTTAAGCAGCTTCTGCCTCATCCTCTTCTCTGCTGCTAGTGGGACTCAGTGGAGGTGAAAATCTGTTGGATACTGCACATACAATCCGAATATAGTCTCAAATGAATGGAATTGGATGAGTTGGTAGTGTACGGTCAAGATATCTGCAACTATTCATACGGGCATTAGATGACTCTACCACCCACCTGATCTAAAACATGAAAGAAAATGTTGTTTTATCTAGAAAGAGTTTTATATAACTATACATGTACAATACATGTACTTACAAGATATATTTTAAATTTAGTATACAAACTAATTAGTTTTAGAATGTCAGCAAATTTTTAGATACATGCATTTCAAAATCTTAAAATATCATTCCCACTGTTACCTTTGTCACTAGTCGACTCATATCGTCATCTTCGGTCGACATCTGCTTCTGACCAGCCTCTAAAAACCTAGTCTTCTCCGCCTGGATCCACAAATCTGCTAGCAAAGGAAGAGCGTCTCTGAAGCCTCTATCCACAGTGAAGATGTCATCCTCATTAAGCCAGGAGCGAATACTTTCAGCGTTACTTTTGATGATGTGTGTAAGAATGGAAGAATCACTGCTCTCTCTATCCGCTAAATAAGGGCCTAAAATGGAGACAAAATATCCTGTTGTTGTAACAACCGCCATTGGTTTAATGAGGGGTCTCCTTTTCTGCATACTGAATGATCTTCGCTGGAAATAAAAATTATTACTTTTGTTCACATAGATGTAGATGTAAGTTTCATCCAATACTAATATGACTTGACTTTTTTTCTAGACTGCCGAATAAAGTTTTAGCAAGAGGTCTGGTGTGGTTGCTGATAATTTAATTTCTTTAATTGTGACCAAAACCATTTTTTTGGGAACAAATGTAGTCAGCAAGGCTTTTCTGACTGCATGAATGGCTCTCCTTAAGCTGAATTTCGTTGCTCGGAATAAAGTTGATAGTATGAGATTTGATAGTCCAGTTTTCATTTTACAAAAGAAGATTGTCACAGAGGTAGTCAAGCTTCTTGCTGGTGTATTCCTTACAAAACCTTGCACACAGTCACACAGTTTTTGAAACTTTCCCTGCTTATTCCTACATGTAATAATGACTTATAGTCTGTATTTGTCAATTTTTTTTCTATCATCAAAGTCCAAAAACTGATTCTCACTGTTGTGAAATCAAATACAATTTGATCATTATCAATGTTATTTAAAATCAATGAATGAATTGTACTTAACTGAAGTACGAAAAAAATATGTTTAATTTATTTACCTTTACGTGTAAAAATATTTAAATGCAGGAGAAATATGTTATTAAAGACTAATATTTAAAAATCATATTTCATAATGCCGTTTTTAAGCCAGCGAATAAAATGTATAATACGTACACGATGATATCGACATTTTATCTCTGTACAACTGCATAAATAAATGCAGTATTATTTATTGACAATTATTGATTAATTAATTTCAACTGTCAGATCTAAGGTATTGTCACGTTGTTATTTTGGGTTACACGTGAACTTGTGTTGTATTTTATTTATTAGGGGAATCACTCGCTTGGGGAAAGTTTAACTTTATTCCTTATTTGGACTGCTCTACATGTGGGGCTACTTCCTGGCTTGGATTGCCCTCTACGGTGGCTGTAAAAATCCAAAGAATAAAGAAATAATATATTTTTAATAACTGAAGTTTATTCTTTGAAATCGTCGATGAAAGTGTATTAATAATCTTATAAACAAACAGTCACCAGTTACAAATACAATGTAAAATATTATAAAAATATGTTTAAAGTTAATCCTGGTGACTGTACAGAGGGTTGAACAATTTAGGAAAAATCCCTCTGTAAATTGAAAATCTAAACTTGCATAGATATAATATAAATCTCAACTACTAATGTTACAGCGGACAGTCTCGTAACATGAATTACTAAACAGAGAAAATTTGGAAATAAAACATTCTATTTTACACTTTTCTTTTAACTTTAATCATAGATCATTGAAGTGGAAACTAGTCCGAACTAAAATCATTTAAATATAAAGGTAATCATAACAATCAAAAGCTTGTGTACTTACAATCTTATCTCTAAAGTCATTTTACAATTTACTTTTCCAGCGCTTTTCGATACAAACAAATAACATTTTTACCTCCTTATATTAAAGAGCGCGCAATGAATATAATGGCGCTAAATTTCAAATTACAATTCTAAGAACGCTACCTTTATTTGAGACTGTCGCTAAACCCGTTTATTACAATAAAACATACAACTATAAACTATACAAATACTAAATGAGGCCACTATGCATAAAGCTTGTGTAACAATAAAATCTTTAGAGGAAACTTAACTCAAGCTCAAATTTAGAATCAAGAAATAAATAAAAATACTTATCAATAAAATACTTAATATTTTAAAAATTTATTTATGAGCGTAAAAAGAATTGCTTTAATCGAAAATGAATTAATTAACTAAAAATTATATGATTTACATACCTGTAAAAATCCAAAGAATAAAGAAATAATATATTTTAATGACTGAAGTTTATTCTTTGAAATCGTCGATGAAAGTGACCAAGCTTGGGCGAATTTTCACCGACGATTCCGCGTCTTTGGATTACAGGGTTTTAGCCAATCAAAATTTAGAATTTCTTAATGAATAGCCGAAAGTTGTAAAAATTTTCCAAATAAAGACGATTAATTAAACAGAGTGATCACGTGACATAAAAATGACCGCCACGGCAATTGAGTAAACTTGAACACCTGGGCTTGACTTCAGACCCTAAGGCCTTCTTAACAAAAAGACAAAATCACAAAAGAGATTAACACTATTACGCAATTATTTGATTATCATGCTTATTGAACATCTGACTCTAAAAACTCATAGGTAAATTGTTTAAATCCATTAGCTGGACATGCCAATATTTGTAAAAGAAAGTCCTTTTTTCACTTGTACAAAAACTGTTTTATATTGAATAAACAGGAAAACCTTGGGTGACAAATTGAATTCTTACACTGTAAAATACTTGTACTTTTTGTTAAATTCTGACACTAATTATTCAAAGTCAATCTGTTTTCTTCTTATACATGTACGAGTTTCTTTTCTTAGACAAAATACATATTTTACTAAATATAATGAAAATATATACAATTTATTGAATTTATTACAATTTTGTTTTATTAAAATGTATCTGTCTTCCCACAAATTTTTATTAAAATAGAAAATTAGGTGTTATCATCAATTCTCTATAAAAATCAAAATTTTAAATAGGGTCGTGGACATGACATGTCTCCGATTTACCTGAAATTCACACCATTTACTACAATTGGCATATCTTTAATAAATATGGTGTTAAAGTCAAACTTTTCAATTTGGTTGCCATGGTAACAAGAATGTTATATTAAGAACCCTCCGATTAAGCAAATTTTGCTTTGTTTTCAATTAAATTAGTGAACATTCATTAAATTAGTGTAAATTCACATGAAAATTATATTCTCTGAGCTCGTATTATTTAAATCTGAGAAATAAATTTCATTCAAGATATTTGAACGGAGATTAAGCGAATTTTCATCGCAACATTAAGGCTGTTAGCTAATTGGCAATTTGCCAAATTTGTCTTTTTTAGTCATATTCAATGGAATTTTTCACCATTTTGACAACTGATATATTTGAAACCATGTATCATTAAATAAACTATATGTTCTGAGGTTTTATGAGAATAAAAAAAATTAATGGGTAAATCAAAAACTTTCTGGAAATTATTGCATGAAAATTGGCAATTTGCCAAATTTGTCTTTTTTTGTCATATTCAATGATATTTTTCACCATTTTTACAACTGATGTATTTGAAACCATGTATCATTTCATAAACTGTATATTCTAAGGTTTTATGAGAATAAACAAAATGAATGGGTAAATCAAAAACTTTCTAGAAATTATTGCATGAAAATTGGCAATTTGCCAAATTTGTCTTTTAAAGTTTTTTTTAGTCATATTCAATGGAATTTTTCACCATTTTGACAACTGATATATTTGAAACAATGTATCATTAAATAAACTATATATTCTAAGGTTTTATGAGAATAAAAAAAATTAATGGGTAAATCAAAAACTTTCTAGAAATTATTGCATGAAAATTGGCAATTTGCCAAATTTGACTTTTTTTAGTCATTTTCAATGCAATTTTTCACCATTTTGACAACTGATATATTTGCAACCATGTATCATTAAATAAACTATATATTCTTATGTTTTGTGAGAATGAAAACAAAATAATGGGTAAATGTACAGCTTTCTAGAAATTATTGCATGACCCCCCCCCCCCCCACCCCTTTTATCACAAATAACAGAGAAGATCATCTAAGAACATGTTTTACCAAATTGAACAAATTGTTATGTAATATAAATATATGTCAAGTATTTAAATTTCTTTTTCATAATTAAATAGAACTTCTGCAATTAAATCAGTGACAGGTAAATTAATATGTTGCTATGGAAACAAATTAGGCTTCTAGTTCTTTTATTCTAAATATGAATTAAAACAAGTGACTTTCCTGCAATTCTTACAAATCTTTTAATGGCCTGTAATTGTTTCCAATCCTTTTGATTTATTCACTAAAATATGTTCAAATTCAAAACAATTGTTTTCTGGTTATTTTTTTTATTGTACAATTTAAGTAAAAAGGCAAAGTCATATTTAATAAATGATATGAAAGTATCTTATGAAAATATGAAAGTAAGTCAGACAATATAATGTCAAAACAAGTTGGCAAGACCATCTTGATTATAATGTTTGTTTGTAGGTAGGTTGAAAAATCTTTTTCCCAGAAAATTTCAAAATATTTGTATCTTGCAATGTAAAAAAGTTTTGAATTTTAGTCAGTCTGTTGGGGGAAGGCAACCCAATTTTTTTAAATGGCCTTATGTGCTAAATATTGTGGGATTAATTCTTATCACATTACTTATCAGCATATTCAGATGATCAGTTATACTATTGTGTTCTTTTAATGGGTATAACTATTTTTAACCCTTTGACGTTGACCTTAGACATTGACCGACTTAAAAAAACTTTAACCTTAACCACAACTTTTGAAGTTAGACTAGATTTTCATATTTCACAGGTGTTTTCCTTGTGACAAGACCTTTCTTGGGATACCTCGTGGGAGTCGTGGCATAAGCTGCCATGTATGGGGGAATCAGTGTTTCACACTTTATCTTGTTCTCAGTTTTGTTAAAATGTATTCATATTCTAATCATACAAGACATACTGCGTGAAGCCTGCCAGTATAAAACTATAAATTTGTGAGCCCATGTAGGGGTATATAATGAATCAGTGTGGCACCAGACCTCTCCTGCAGAGTGGGGATATAAAAAGGGAAGAAACTGCTTCTTTTCATAATACTGCTTTTATGGAAAAGAAATAAACATGACATTGGAATGTATGCTCCACTTAAAACAGTGACATTTTTTGAAAATACAAGAAATCAATTTAGAATACACATATTCTCTAAGGAAAACATTAAAAAAAAATTCTGCTAAAATTTGTTCCTTCATATTCTCTCATTTGATGTCAGCTTGATTTCCTCGAATTCACATTTCTTTATGTCCTTTTGTATTAGTTTGAAAAGTAGCTCAGCCTAGCAATTTGCTGTGGATTTTAGTAATGATCTTTAGAAAACCCTTTCTATATCCATCTTGCACCAGTGACAACTTTTACTGGATCTTCTTTT